TTAATTGTATTCGCTCTTGATATTTGCTGTTCTGTTAAATCCCTTACCATGCCTGCAGTTTACATCAGAAATTCATTAGAGTGAAGAGGTGCCAGGTGATAGTCTATGACCACATTTTAATCATGGCTTAATTCAGCTACTGCTGTTTTTTTTAGGGGGGCACTGGTATGGGGGTTTAAACACTGTAGTTTTTGCCTAATTTTGTAATGTTGGGAGAAAAGCAAGAGATGACAAATTTGTTAATACACTGGAGTACATTGCAACTAGGAATCTGTTTATCAGTGGGCAGGGAACAGGGATGTTGCCCACAAATTTGACTTTGCTACTTTGTACATGTAGCACACATGGGTAGAATTTTAGTTTTAATTCTATTTTCAATTTCAAAACAAGATACACACACACACAAATCCACCCACCTATTCAAATCCTGTCAGTTTTAAAATAAATTTAGACTGCCATCCTTTCAATACTGTCCAGGGGCATAGGGAGGGGCGTGTGGTCCGCCCTGGGTGTAATCCCTGAAGAAGTGACAAAATGGCACACTATGGGGGGCAGCAAATACCACGGGGCCTGACCTATAGCGTTCCTGAGCCACGTGTCTCTCCTGGGAGTGACACGGTGGCTCGGGGCCCCACGCTGCCCGAAACGGCAACGTGAGGCTTGCGCCCACCTGGTGGACACTGTGGGTGGCTTGCCCCGCTCCTGTCACTCTGGGTGCTGGAACAGCTAGCTACGCCCCAATACTGTTCATGGCATAATTGAGCCCCTAAAACTTTTCTGCATGGAATTTGGCTCACAAAGTCACACTACACCACAGATTCTAAAATTGTGATGCATAAGAATGAAACCAAAGGGTTAAAAATAACTCAATGGTGTGTTTGCTTTAGGAAATGAAAACATTGAAATTTTGCAAGGTTTCATTGCTCATAAACATAACCACTTAAGTTTGTAGATTTTGCAATGGCCACCAGAATTTTGAGATCAGAATTCAAAAGTGAGAAAAACCCAATATTCAACCTGCATTCCTGTTGGTGTTTTAAATGGCAGTGTTCTCTTGATCCTCATGTCTGCTATAATATGGTTCATTTCTCTCTCACTCACTCATCCACCCATACAACACATTCCTGCTATAAGAACAAGTTTATTTTAAGAGCAAGTTTCTAGAACTCATTACTCTCTCTCTCTCTCTCTCTCTCTCTCTCTCTCTCTCTCTGTGTGTGTGTGTGTGTGTTTTAAAAAAGTCTGCCAACACAGCCCTCCTCCCTGAAGAAGGTGGATAGGACAATTACGCTCTTTCTCTTATCAAGGATGCCACTTTCTCTTATCAGGGATGAGGAAGCTGTGGTCCTCCACAGGCTGCTGGACAACTGCCACCATTCCTGAACATTGGCCATGTTGGCTGGGACTGATAGGAGCCATAGCCCACTGGCATCTAAGGGGCCAAAGGTTCCATGGCTTAAGTTGGCACAAAGACAATGGACTCCTTCACCTGCTCTCACCCAGGGTTAACAGCAGAAAGGGCTCTGCCAAAGTCATTTCCTTTTGTACCACAGCTGCTCACTCCCGTGCACAAGAAACAGAGAAATTGATATAGGTTGCTAGGATGCTTAGAGGTAGAGTTTCAATGGTGGGTGAGAGCCATTAAAGAGCCATTTGACATCTCATTTCATATGGAAGTGAGTCAATGGGTAGAGCCAATGTGCTCAGCTCTTTGGCATCTGCTCAGTGGAACATATGGCTTCTGTTTACATTTCTTTTATGAGTATTTTGATAGCAGTCTTCTATTTGTATCACTATGTACATATGGTCTTACTAAGTAATATATGGTCTTTGCTTATAAAGTCAGTGCTAACCAGGTCCCTATTTAACACCAAGAGACTGCAATGAAATAATGCAGGGATGAAGAACCTGTGGTCCTCTGGATGTTCCTGGATCCCAACTCCCATCATCCCCAGCCAACATAGCAAGTGGTCAAGGATGATGTGATTTGTAGTCCAACAACATTTGGGGGGCCCCAGGTTCTCTATCTCTGAAGTAAAGGACACAGAAAGGCAAACCAGGACTCATAAAAGTAGTTGACCAGCTATTTGATCCCACCTTTCAGAGCTAGAGATGGACTGGTTTTAGTGAATGAAGCAAGAGAAAATAGATTCCCTGATGAACCCTTTTCCAAGTCTTTGTCTAGTCACGCTTAAAGCATCTTGTAGATCTCATGCTGATCATGTATTCATAGCCATACTCAACAACGCTCTAGGTTTGTTTAATCTTTTTCCCCATTTGAGCCAGGGTTAGTCAGGGCTGCCTCAAAATCAATTTCTAATATCTCTGCTCCACTTTGGACTATGAAGAAGTCTTGGAATGCTTCTGAGCATGTGTAGAGCTAATGGAAGACCCACAAACAGCCTTCTTATATCTAGGGCTGCATGGTGAGCTTTTTGGGGGGAGGATTTTTCTTTTGCTTTTTTGGGGGGGGTGATCAGTCAGGACACAGGTGATCGGTCAGGACACAGTGATCAACCAGGAGCACCCCGTGATCGACCTGTAGATCACAAGTGACTGGTTCGACATGCCTGCCAACATCTACTTTAGATCAGTCACCCTTAAAATTAGTGTGAATGCCAGCCTTCTAGCACTTTGTGTGGGACCCTGTTGTGGGAGCATGAGCAATATCATAACATTTTTTCTGGAGCAGTGCTTGTTTTACTCAATCTTTCTACCTTCCTGGAACACTTTCTGGATCACCATATTTGCCAAGGAAACTCGAGCACACCTGACTAAAAACCCTTGAGAACACTGACACATTGCAAAAGGGGGCAGTATGTTTTGAAGTACATTCAGTTCATTGGTGTCACTGGACAGGCTTTTTGGGCCCTCCCTGTTGGCCGCATGAACTGAAAGCATGGCCTTGAAGAAGGGTGGGCAGACTTTAGGCATGCAGGATTGACTTTCTTGGTGGTTTTTTTTTTACTAGAACCCCATCAACAGGACTACTGATCAAGAGGGATCAGATCTACATATAGGGTGGAATTCAACTATCCAATGACATACATAGAACAAGGTTCACTCTTGCAACAGGACTTTCCACCTCCCCCAGGTGCCTCTTACTTCTTACATCTGCTCTGGAGGGTTGCAGGAAGCTGTAGCACAGGTTTAGTGGACATGCAGGGGAGAGGAGCCCCATTGCATGAACGGACCTTGTTCTGTGCACACATACTACATTTAGCCCTACACTGAATTCCACCCATAGACTTTAGGATCACATCACAACCTCTGAACACATGCTCAGAGCAGGAATGGATTTTCAGTGTCATAACAGGGCTCATAGTCTTTTCCAGTGGCGTGCAATGAAATTTCCCATAGGGGAACAGTTAGGGCCAGAAGCGCCAGCTTGCGAGGGCGGGGGGTCTGACATCACATGCGAGACATCAAATTGTCCTGATGTCACATTGCAGCGTCCTGACATCACATGTGCGAGAATCGTGCCTCCCTCCCTAAGCTGGACAGAAGCTTCCCAGGCTTTGGGAAGGAGGCACTAAAGCTGGGCAGGCTTTGGGAAGATGGTGGGCATGCTCTTTGGCCCCATCAGAGTATTGAGCCTCCCTAAGCCAGGCAGAAGCGTTTAATTTACTGGGAACATTTATGGGACTAGCCTAGCCCACTGACTGCACACCACTGGCCCTTTCCCATAAAAAATCAATTTCTGGTTTCTCCCTCTGCTTCATTCCCTTCAGCAGCCTAATGTTGCAGGCAATTCCTGATTCTCAAATTGAGGAACCCATCACAATTCATTTCTAAAGAATGCCAGGATGCCCTGGTTCACTGATGTAGCTGCATCCTTCATGGTGGCTGGTGCCCATTGAGACTGGTGGGGCAGAAGGCAGAGAAACCAAAAGTGGGCTCAGCCAGAGCCAACTGATTTTTCTTTTGTCCCCATCTTCCTCCTTCTCTAAGGAGGAAGAAGGTTATAATTAGAGCCATGCCTTGCCTGGTTGTAAGTAGATAGGCAGTGCTTCATCCACCCTAATGGACTGGCATCCCCTGGGAGCACGCATATGTTCATCACAGCAGGACTGTCCCATTCAAAGAACCAACTTACACAAATGTTGACAGAAACAAATCAACTTTCTCAGCCATTGTGAATCAGTGTGTGGAACCACAGCTGCGAAATCTTCAACATGTGTCCTTCCAAATAACTCACTGTCAGCATCCTGATTCCAACCACTTTCAGGAGTATCTCCCCCTTTTGGGGCAAGACTTGGGAAGAAACTTGTCCATGTTGTTGGCGTTAATGTGTTGGAGACCAGTAAAGACTTCACGGCCACCTAAATCAACATCAAATTATTATCCTAAGTACAAATTGATGTTGGGAATGGGGAGAAGAGGAGGAAATCCGATAGACTGGTTTGCATATAATGGTGTGTTTCAAGAAATAAGAGGGTCGCTTTTAGAATAAAACCACACTGACCCCAGAGCAGAACTTTGAGAGCCAGATCGAAAAGAAAATAAATATACATAGACAAACTCACAGCATGGATGGCAAGAGGACAGAAGCAGGAAAGTGTCTCATAGCACGGAGAGATGGAAAGGTGGGTGTGGACTCAGGAACGGAGGCGGCGGGGAAAACTAAAATGGACAGCGTTGCGCACTAGTCTTGGGGCTTAAAATGCGAATAAATTAACTGGGTGTGGGATTTTTTTCTGCGAAGATCCGGTCAAATCACACACACACACACACACACACACACACACACACGAGCAAGACTCCGCCCCTTGACCCGTGTTTGGCACTCTTTCCGACTAAGGAGCAGGGGGTGACTTCAGCATCACCACCCTGACCCTTGCTGGGAGAGAAGGCGCCAACTCTGCTGCCTCAACTCGCGTCCCTCCCTCCACCAACCCCTTCTGGCCAGAGCAGCGGGCTCCGTTTGCGCCCTGCACCGAGGCGCGAGAGCAGAGCGCGCGCACCCACACGCGCACCCTTGGGCGCCACGACGGACATTTACCTGAGCCGTCCTGGAGACAGCGATCGACAGCAAGAGCAGGTCTGCGAGGAAGCGCATCGTGCAGGCGCCCAGCCCAGCTTCGCCTCGGGCGGGTGCCAGCCAGCCGACTCCCCCCGCCCAGCTCGCTCACTCAGCGGCTCCTCCGCATCCCCGCGCCAAAAAGGTAGCGGGGCCGCTGTCGCCAGACTCCAGCGCGCCCCAGGCGGGCGGATAGACGGGTGGACCGACGGCGCCCGCTGGCGCCCCCTTCTTCTCCCCCGGGCAGGGCGAAGGCGAGGAAAAGGCGGTGGCCGCCCGCCGCGGCGGCTGCTGTTGCTGCAGGGGACGGGGGGGGGGGCGAGATCCGGCCAAAGGCAGCCAGGCAGGCTCCGCCTAGCGCTGGGCCAGCCAGGCAGCGCGCCCCGTGCGCTCCCACGGCCCCAGCGCCACCTCTCCGAACCGGCGAGGGGAAGGAGGCGAGGACGGCGGGGTCCCACCTTGAAGAGGGGGAGGAAGGGGGGGGTCTCCGAGCCGATATCTCATTGGTCCTCTCAAGCCGACCGCCTGCCAATACCGAGCGTTTAGGGGGGCGCGGGGGAGCCCCTTCCCCAGGCTAATAGGGTAGGGAGACACTATGCTCGATATCACGACGGGATTCTCTGCTTAAGGGTGTTGGCGGGGGATATTCAACTCCCAGGGCGGATCCCTTACCCCAATGGCCCCCTCTTTTCCATCTTTTAAAACATCTCTGACTCGAGAACGAATCTAACATAATAGCCACTTGTTTTTTTTTAACTAGATCAGTAGAGTGGGTCAGAACTGCAAATGGTCTGTTTTATTTTAATACATGTCTCGCTTAACCAGCCTTATTGGACCCTGGACTTACATCACGAAGCCAGGTGAACACAGAGGAAAACAGCGAGCAGACTCTGTCCTGCTGCCATGCTTCAGCCACGCCGCGCAGGAAACACGCTCTTCCGGGCAACTGATCCGTATTAGGCTGAAATATACATTCCGGGTGCTTCCTGGAAGAGAGTCACCAGGGCTATTATTTTCCTCCCACTTGACCAGTTTCTCCAAAAATGTATGGGAGAAGTGGAAATTCTAACTGGTGCTGGCAATTTGGGGCACATTTGAAGGATCTCATGCCTAGCTCTGGATTAGTTTTTCTGAATTCTATTATGTATGATATCAAGGGTAGTGATTACATGATAGAATTCCTGAGGAGTATAGGCATTAGTAAAATTACAGCACAAGCCGATACCTGTCAACTCAAAAGTAAACCAAACTGAATCCAGCAGAAAGTACTCCCAAGGAAGTAGGTATAGGATTTCATTCTTAATTATCTCCTGAGTAAACCAGTGTAATCTCTTCTGGTTGTCCTGGATTGTAGCCCTGGTTTAGGATTGGGGAGGGGGCGGGTGTACCTAGGGTCTCAGCTTTAATAGTATGAAGGAATCCAAATCCCTGAATTTTCAAAGCTGAGTGGCTTGTTATTTATTGGTTATGGCTTAATTTTATTTATAGCTCACTTTTTTGTCAACAGACCTAACAAAAGAAATATGAAAGGCCCAGGCATTCCCTGGTCCATAAGCTCAGAGCCTGTTTTACTGGATTGCTTTCCCTGAAATCCTGTTTCTGGTTTTTTTTTATTCTACTGCTTTATTGCTTTTATAGCTGTGTTTTTGTTTTAATGACATTGATTTTTATGTTGCACTGCTTAAAAGTTTGTTTAGATAATAAGTGGTTAACAAATGCTTTTAAAAAAGAATTAAAAAATAAAATGCAAATCACAGCAAACCAAAGAAAGAGGATTTGATCTCACTCTCTTTCTCTCTCCATCTACAGCAGAGTTGGCTGGTGGTTGGTGATGGGGGGGGGTTAGGGGCAAGTCAATCTAGGCAGGAGAGTGGGAAAAGCCTCACAATCTCACCCTTCCCTGCTGCTAAACCTCAGAATGGCAGGTTGCTAATGAGAATCCAAAAGGAGAGGAACCAAGTGGTGGCTGGACCAGGCAGGTGGGTGGGAATGGGCTTGTTCTGCTCTCTAAGCTGCAGAATGGTTAGCCACATAAAAAGGGAAGCCACAGGGATACTGGGAGAGGGTTGTCAGGTTGGGGAGATAATTCAGAGTGCATTCAAGTGGGAAGAGAAATGCAGGAGAGTCCTGCACTCCTATTTTCAGTGGCCATACATTAAGCAACATAGAAATTAAATAATCAAAAATAATCAAATCAAAGGAGAGAGGGCTTCCTCTGTTTGCATTACCTGTCACACTCCTGATGACTCCACCCTGAAATGAAGTCACAGTTTGAAAGCTATTGTTAGCTTCTGGAAATGTGTCTGTGCTGGTGGAAGCAAACAAACCAATATGGCTCCAGCTTCCCAATTAGTTAAAAGTCCAGCTCTTAACTGGCTCCCTATTGCATAAATTAGTACATCTGTAAATAGGCAAAATGTATTCTGAAAGCACAGATATGTTCCTGCTTGCCACAATACGCCCCTCCCCCATGCACGTTTGGATCAGTGGCCAGAAAAGAGAGCGAGGGAACCAACTGTTTTATAATTAGCAAAAGCTTCTCTACTTAGCAGACGAGGTCAGTTTTAAAACATGTGTGCACATGCATGTGTGATGTCCCATTTTCATACTTCAGTTCCTGGTTGCTACATCACATTTGCTAGTCTAAACATCCTTTGGAACCCTGACAACCCAACATTCTTCCCCACATGTTTTTACTTATTGTCTTTTGGTAGCGCTTGTACTACACATTTCGTATCACAAGAGAAAATGCATAATAGGAGGGTGTAAGAGATGAAGTGCCCTAAAGACCTGTATTGGAAGGGGATCCAAGCAATTTAACTTGTTCATAAGTGAATTGAAGTTGTGAATAGTGAGGTGACCATATTTGTTGATCATAACAAACAGGGTCATAAAAAGGGAGAAGATAAGAAAGAAAGAAAGAAAGAAAGAAAGAAAGAAAGAAAGAAAGAAAGAAAGACACTAAAAGAATTTCTCCAGACTGGGGAAATGGGCAATAAAGTTCCAAATTTTATTATTATTATTTTATTTATTAAATTTGTATACTGCCATATACCCACAGGTCTCAAGGCAGTTCACAGGATAAGATCACAATATAAAAACACAAAACCATAGCAAATGTGATTCAGTGTAAGTTAGCATAAAGTATCCCCCAAGGGTATCTGTGTTAGCCTCATGCAGCAAAAATAATCAGACAAGTACATTTGTTAGAGCATGAGACTCAAGCCCACTTTGTCAGATGCATGAAATGAAATCTTACTTGGTATAAATTGCAATATCCTTAAACCATTTCAAGAACATGTCAGCCTTCTAAGACACTCTGCAACTAACTTTAAGGTGGCAATTCTGAAACTTCAGAGGAAGAACAGTGTGAAACAGATGAATTACAAGTCATCAAGTTCAGTGCCATCACTTGTTGGTTAAATTGAGACAAATGATTTTTCCCCACACCACATGTGCTGATTTAGCTCATCAGCGCCAGGATGGAAAGAACTGTGTGGTAAAGCATCTCCTTTGCATGCAGAAGATCCCAGGTTTAATCCCTGGTCTCTCCAGGTAGATAAGGCTGGGACTGTTCCTTGCCTGAGACCCAGCAGAGCCAACGCCCATCAGTTCAGACAACACTGAGCTAGATGAACCAAATGTCTGACCAGCTTCCTGTGGGTGTTTCTGATATCTATGCTGTCTATGACTGTTCCTTGTGAATGACTCCCTGCCTCACAACAGGGGTTGATGCCAACATCTCAGCAAGTAATCTGCTACTGCAAAAAAGCTAAAGGTGTGCCAATTTAGCATATATTTAAGATCCAATTATCACCAATGGTAATTTTTGTATCTCATTGCCATTCAACTCCCACCTTACAATTTTCTCCTTTTTATATCTGCCAACTTAAGGTTTCACATAATGCATCTATTAAATTGAGCTTTAGTCCATGAAAGCTTATGCCTTGATAATTTGGTTGGTCTTTAAGGTGCCACAAGACTCTGCAGTTGTGTTTACTGTAAAGTACTGCACGTTTGGACCAAAACTCTGAAATTCACATATACACTGATGAGGCCTGAGCTAGCAATCAGTGACCAGGAAAGAGATCTTTGAGACATCATGGATAGCTGCTGTGAAAAGAATGAATTCCTTGCTAGGAATCACCAGGAAAAGGTTCAAAAATAAAACTACCAATTTTGTAAGGTAAAAAAGTAAAGGACCACTGGATGGTTAAGTCCAGTCAAAGGCGACTATGGGGTTGTGGTCCTCTTCTCACTTTTCAGGCTGAGAGAGCCGTCATTTGTCCACAGACAGCTTTCCTGGTCATGTGGCCGGCATGACTAAACCGCTTCTGGCACAACGGAACACAGTGACAGAAACCAGATCTCACGGAAACGCCGTTTACCTTCCTGCTGCAGCAGTGCCTATTTATCTATTTGCACTGGCATGCTTTCGAACTGCTAGGTTGGCAGGAGCTGGGACAGAGCAATGGGAGCTCATTCCGTCACACGGATTCGAACCGCTGACCTTCCAGTTGGCAAGCCCAAGCAGCTCAGTGGTTTAGACCACAGCTCCACCACCTTTACTTACCAATTTTGTAATGCCATGTGGTGAAGGTAAGGGGGCATTTCCTTGCTTATTTTATTAACAAAACTCAACATCCTAAACCAATTCCACTGCCACACTTTGGTATTGCTTATACTCTTTGCACCCTACTCACCAATAACCCTGGTAATAGTGGGATAGTGACTGGTGGTACAAACCAGCCAAATATAGTTACTGTATTTAACAAATATATTGATGCTTATGTATTGCAAGTCACATAGCACACAAGCTTATGTGGTTATACTACTGTCCCTTTTAATGAGTATACATTATGAGAACATTTTACTTAAATATAGCTTATTTTACTAAACTAAGACAGTTGTGAAGAACTTTATTAAAACTCTGTTGCCAGAGTGTTAAGCCTAACCAACACCATAATGAAGGGCTTTTGCTGGAGCTTCTGTTTCAACTACTACTGATGTATTGAAGTGCAGGTCTGTTTTTGCTGCCCTGCCCTGGAATCTTCCTCTGATTCTCCCGCCAAACACCAGTGCCCAAGATTCCAAACTGCCTCTCACTTCTTCTCCATCACATCCTCCAGACACGTCCTCCCATTGTCTCTTCAGCCTGAGGCAAGTGATCTGGACAACCAACAAATTTCAGATGCCAAGCTACTCTACCTTCCTCTCAGTCCTTCCTTCATCTGCTATATTCTTCTTCTTGCAGCTGTTCACCATGAACACCAAGTACCAACAAACACAGATTCTTCTCCAACCTGGGCTGTCCCTGACTGACTAGCACCTGGCCATATATTCACTCCTTCTGATCCCTCTAGCTCAGTCCCAGCCAACCGCACTCTCTAATGGAAAATTTGGAACCTGCAGCCACCAACCAGGACATCCTTCTTTTGAATACTGAGAGCTCTGTCTCCACTCCCCAGCTGTCAGTTGAGGTCACCCAGTGACGGTTAAATCAACTTCCACCTGGCCAGACAAAAGACTTCCCCCAACAAACACATTGCAATGTACATTATAATACAAATGACAGAATACATTACAATACCGATTAGAACACAGTTTCAAATAAACAGGCTTTCTTCACTCTTTCTTGAAAATTCATGGAGTGTGATCACACTAGTAATACTGTGCTTACTTCTGACCACTGCACCTCAAGAAGGATGCTGTAGAATTTAGGAAAGTACAGATAAGATAAGGGAAACCACAACAATCAAGGGGCACAAGGGAAGCTTCCAGTATTGGAGGCTTTTTTGTTTAGAGGGGAAGGCAAATGGGGGGGGGGATATGATAGAGGTTTGTAAAATTATACAGGGGTGTTGTTAGGTTAAAAAAACACCTCTCTTTGTCTTAATATTAGTATCCAGAGTCCTCCAATGAAGCTGAATGGTGGCTGATTGAGGACACAGACAGCACCTAGGACAGCAGCTGGAGGAGGAGAGAGCACAAGGTGAACATAAGGGGGAGTCCTTTTCCCATCCCCTGGGCCCTTGAGAAACTCAGCAAACCTGCTGTACCCAGAACTGGGTGTGGAGAAAGGGCTGAGGAAGTACTACCCGCCTTGGGCTTATCCATAAAAAGCAAGTCTAGAGTGGGAGACTAGGGTGATGTCTACTGTTTCCAGGAACTCTTCTTCTTGTGAGATTTTTGGCGGTGAGCTGAGAATTTATTTGGATCCTGGGTGAGAACCCAGAGGCTGAAAGGTAGGGTGTGTTGGAGGGAAAATGAATCGATTCTGATTGCATTAATGTAATATTGCATTAATGTAACATTTATATAGGTAACTGTATTTTTGTAATGTTTTGTTTAAGTTGATGCTGCTTCAATTTTCTGTACACTACTTTATATATTAAGCAGTATAGAAGTTAAATAATCAGTCAGTCAACCAATGATTTCTTAATGCTGCACATCGTTCTAGTCAGACTAAATAGAATTTGCTGTTACAGGTTGGGATGGTGGTCACTAATTTAGATTTGTGGAGGATTAGGCTATCAGTGGCTAATAGTCGGGATTACTATATTGCCTCTAATCTCATGGTTAGCATGCCTCTTAATAATAGTTGCTGGGGATTATGAGCAACACCGTGCTAGTGCGCTCAAATCCTGTTTGTGAGTTTCTGTTGTCCAGTTTGGTGTGGGAAACAGGATCTGGACTAGGTAGGCCTTTGATTTGATCCAGCAGGACTCTTGCTATAGGACTCTTGGGTAGCACACTTTTCATTAATCTCTAGACATTTGCATGCTTTTCAATGCAGTGCTATTGTGCCAAATAATTTAAAACATCTGTTTAGTTCACATTATAACTTGAATGAGAGATCAAGCCTGCAGCAGGTCTTGAACTGGTGGCTAGAGGACTGATAATGAGTTTTCAGACTCTGGTGAAAGAGTGGAATTGGAATTGCAAGGAGGTCAGCCATGCTAACAAGAAAGCCTTTATGCATCAGTGGAGCTGGTACTGAGAGACATTGCCATGTCTTCTGGACAGGTTCAGAGATCACAGGGGACTTGCTGTTAGCTCAGCTCCCTTGGACAACTTGTCTCTGTCTTTAAAGAGCTGTTGCTCTGTTTTGCGGCCTTTTGCAAAAGGGTGAGAGGGATGTCCCAGGAGAGAGTCCCCTGGAATCTGGTAAAGCAGAATCCTCTGGTCTGGAAGGACTCTTTTAGGAGACACTTCCTTCCTACCCATGACCTTAAGCCTTGCAGTGTTTCTCAACCTTGGGTTCCCAGATGTTGTTGGACTACAACTCCTATCATCCCTGAGCTCTGGCCTTGCTAGCTAGGGATGATGGGAGTTGTAGGCCAAAAACATCTGGGGACCCAAGGTAGAGAAAGGCTGCTTAAGGAAAGGGTAGGAGGGTGTTAGATGAAGTAAGGGACTGGCAAGGGGGATGTTTTAGGGATTAGGGGCAACTGATAGAAAGTGGAGGAGTAGCTGGAAATTCTCCAGCTTGGATTTGAATTGTGAGGTTTCTTTTTAAGAGACTTTGAAGTTTGTTTCTGAGCCTGACTTGGAAGAACTTTGCTGGCTCCCTTAGATGATCCTGAATTGAAGCATACTCCCATCTCCCACTCCAAGAACATAAGAAGCTGCCATTGACCCATCTAGCTCAATACTGACCACACTGACTGGAAGCAGCTGTTTCAGGCAGGGGTCTCTCCCAGCTGTACCTGGAGGTGGTGAGGCTTGAAACTGGATGCTTCTGTGTGAAGAGCAAATGCTTTGCCACTGAGACACAGCCCTTCCCTGCCCTTCGACTGGGCCAGCCCTGACAGCATGTTATGGAGGATTTTATCTCTGCAACAACAGAAGGCCACTGTCTTTTCAACTTTTGAGAATCTAGTCTCTGCTGGAAAGGATGTTTGAGCTTGTGCTTTTGTCAAACCCAGGACCTTTCATATTCCAGATAAAAGGAGGAGTGGAAAGGGGGGTGTGTGTTCTTTGTTCTGCTGAGGGAAGGGAAGTCACATAATTTTGTCTTTCCCCCGAACAATAGTTTGCTGGAGACAGCCCAGCAATTATCTTGTTAAAATGTACTGTGTGAGCCACCTCCGCTATGCTGAAGGTGTGCTCCTCAGAGAAGTGGGTGTGTGGGCAGCTGTTCCTCATTGAAGCACAAGGCCCCAGAAGATTATCTTCCCACTGTCTTCAAGGCAGAGCATTGGTGATAATCAGCTTCCTCTTCACTTAAGTCCTCATTAGTCAATAGGTTTGGTGAGGGATGAGGAACTTATGGCCCTCCAGATATTGATGGACTCCAGTGTCCATCAGCCCCAGCCAGCACAGCCCATGGTGAGGGATGATGAGAACTATAACCCAACACATCCCAAGGGCCACACGTCCTCAATTCCTATTAAATAAGAACTCACCCTAGTTCAGTTAGGGCGGCTTACCCCTTCGTGTATTCTTAGTGTGGGGGGTGTTAGGGAAGGGATAGTAACTTGGGTGGGGAACATGTTGTGCTCCTTCTGGGATGGCATGTCCACCTTTGTCCACCCTGAACTCAGCTCTCACC